ATTAAAATTTGTAAGTTTAAAAACGAATTCGTAAATACAAGAAGATTTTATTTCGATAGTAACTTGAGTAGAAGAAAACCGAAAGCTAGCAGTACTATAAATAACAATTTTAGGAAAGTAAGAACTCATACATTCAAGAAACACACCAATTTAAAGTGGTTTGGTCAAAATGACCTACATCCACTTACGAAGCCTTCTTCGATGAGGCTCCCAACTTCCACTAGCAAATCACTTTGAAGGGGAAGGACAAATACCCCTATTATAACCTTTTACAGTGGTTCACACTCTTATAAATTTTCAACGAGAAAGGAGGTGAACACTCAAGCAATTAAAAACAAGACTTGCTAAAGACTTTGCTAAGGCTTTTATCTCAATCTATTGCTTCTCAAGAGTTGTATTCTCTGCTGAGAATTGAGGGGTATTTATAGGCCCCAAGAGGATTCAAATTTGGGCTTCAAATTTTGAATTTTCTTGGGTTTCCGAGGCTGGCAGTGCCACCGCCTGTCGGTGGCGGTGCCATCGCCTATCAATTTCAACATTGACAGAGTTCTGGTGGTTCCACCGCCAGAACTCTCGGGTTCTGGTGGTTCCACCGCCAGAACTCTCGGGTTCTGGGTGGTGCCACCGCCCGAACTCTCGGGTGCTGGGCGGTGCCACCGCCCAGTCCGACGATACCACTGCCCGACCTTACGGGTCACTGGTTGGGCTTCAAGTCCGGCCCAAACCAAGTCACATTCGGGCCCAATTGGCCCCTAACCAGGATATAGGATTATCCCTTAATCCTAACCCTAATTACATGCAAACTATGCAACTGAAAACATAGTCCTAAGTAAGTTTTAAAATGGCAAACGTCGAGTCTCGTTCCGACGAGTATTCCGGCGATCTTCCGGTGGACTTCCGATGCACCTTCGGATTTCTTCTGACGGACTCCCAGCAGGCTCCCGATCTTGTGGCGAGTTCAGTGAGTAGCCGAGCCTTCTCGGTGATCTCCGCGAACCTCCAACGATCTCTTCGGCGGACTTTCGAAAACTCCAACACATCCCCGATTTCTTCTTGGTTGGCTTCGGCAGCGTCTCCGACGAATCTTCGGACTCTCAAACACCCATCGAACTTGACTTTGGTTTCCTTGCTTTATGTTTTCAGGCTATCATAGTTAATCCTGCATACTTAACTCAATAATATGGATTAGATCAATTAACCCATTAATTGATTTCATCATCAAAATCCAAGATTCAACAATCTCCCCCTTTTTGATGATGACAATTAATCGATGACGGAGTTAAACATAACTCTCCCTATCTATGTGCCATATTATGAGAAGATAAAAACACTTGAATTCAATCTCTTGAATTCAAGCCTAAACCGATAATTCTATTCGTTGATCTTATCGTTATTCTCTTTAAGCATGAGTAAATACGAAACTTCATATTTCTCATCATTTCAAGTTATGAAAATCATTTTCAAGCCGAATGATAAAAGACAATTATCACTTCGACAAGAGATATGATAGAATGAGAGAATGAAGAATGAAATTATAAGGATAAAGCAAAAAGACACACTTCAAGTAGTATCATGTGAAGTCTATCATCTTTGAGTCTTTCAACCTCACCCATCAGCTTCATGTTAGGCCATGGAAGCTGCTGCTGCATCATCATCTTCCCACCTTTCATCGCCGCCAGCGCCCCGTCACTAACCCTCTACTCCAGATCTGCTCTGCTTCCGCGCGCTGGTCCATCGACCAGCTCCTGGCCTTCTCCCTCCAACGCCTTCGCCACTGCTGTCCTCGACTCCGGCAACATTATCCTCACTGCTTCCGAGAGGACCTTCTGGGTGCAGGCCTCCCAGCAGCCAGCATCCTGCTCTGCCTTCACAGAGACAAGCAGCCTTCGGTAACTTTCCACGCTGCTGCCTCGTTGCCAAGATTCCTCACTGCTGTTCTATTGCACACAGATCTGTAGTTGTCTTGCACAAAGCTGATCACGCCACTGGCTGCATCACTGCCCAGAGTCCTTCCTATAGAACTGCTGCATAGAAATCTACAGCTTTACACCATCTTGCATAGGTCTTTTCCTTCAACGAGACCTTATTCTTTCACAGATCTTATTTGCCACCACCTCAGGTGACATTGATCTATACCAACACTTCTTTCTCCCTGATCATATCTTTCATATGTCATCATCATCTACCTCTGATGCTCCCATTACTGTTCCCTTAGGGAACCATAGTATCTTCCCACATACAAACCTTATCTCCATAAATGCAGCAACCCTCATCCCCTTCAAATTATCCAACGGTGGTAACTACGCATCATGGCGTGCTCAATTCTCTAATATACTATTTGGCTATGATCTTCTAGGCTATGTCGATGGCTCTCTTCGTTGTCCACCGGCGATGCTCAACATCCCAGGCGCATCCGATCCAGTACCAAATCCGGATCACAAACTATGGTTACACCAGGATCGCCTCATCCTTCAAGCAATTCAAGCCTCGGTCGCTGGAACCCTTGCCCCACTCATTTCTTCATGTGACACTGCTGCCGAAGCTTGGTGCAAGTTGCAAACCACCTTAGCCAATCGTTCTCGCACTCGCATGCTTAGTCTTCTATCCAGCCTCATGAAGATAAAACAAGAGGGAAGTAATATTGCTGATTATCTACATAACATAAAGGTTATCATTGATAACTTGGCCTTGGTAGGTCATTCCCTCAGTGATGAAGAAGTTACTGTTCATATCCTCAATGGCCTCGGAGACGAGTACAAGGAATTGGCAGCAGCAATACGGGCGCGTGATTCACCAATCACATTCGAAGAACTTTTCGACAAGCTGATTGACTTTGAGATATATCTCAAGCGCGAGGACAAACCACCAGGACCATCCATCACAGCTCAAGTGACTCAAAAAAGGAGGGGCAATTCGTATAACAAGATTGTCAACAAAGGTTTGACCAAGACACCTTCTGAACCTATGAGCTCTGATACCATGATAGAATGAGAGAATGAAGAATGAAATTATAAGGATAAAGCAAAAAGGCACACTTCAAGTAGTATCATGTGAAGTCTATTTATACATAGTGAAAGAGGATATTTCTTTAACTGAGCAGAGAGATTTCCTCATGCAGTTGAGGAAATCTTATCTGCTATGCAGTTGAGAAAATCTCTCTGTTATCAAGATAAGAATTTTCAACATGAATTTTATATGACCGATCAATCTAAGAACTTGCGATATTCTCAAGGGATTTTGCGATGCATATAAAACATTTTGCATGACACAAGCATTTACAAGTCAAGTCATCACAAGTCATCTTTTGCTCATTCTTCTCCCCCTTTGTCATCAACAAAAAGGAGATGGGAATTGAAGCGTAAAAATCATTAGGAAAGAAATCCAGCCTTAAGATCGATCATACAAAATTCAGCATCCATCCAAAATTCATCTCATAAAAAATCATCATTTATCCAGAATTCATCTCAAAAAATCAGCATTCATCCAAAATTTAAAAAACAATTAGCATTCATCCAAAATTCATCTCATTAAGAGGCATGGCTTTTATACAAAAGAAAGAAGATAACAAAACTTTAACTTGGCATTAAGAGTAATCATACAAGAATCACATGTCAAGGTAACAGAATAAGAAGGCATATCGATTAATCCTTAGGAGGAAATCCATAGTTCTTATACATGACATCTATTTTTTGATTCACTTGT